ACCAAAGAACCGTAAATATTCAATCTTGGAACTAATTACTCCATTGCCTTAGTTCTCTTAGTCCAATCCCGTCCCAGAAATCACATTCTCCATTATCAGTGGAGCAGAAGAGAAAGCCCTTGGGAGCTTAACTTCAGCGGTAAAAAATTATCCTCTAACCTTTGTGTTTGTACCTAGATGAGAATCTTCGGTTTTTTAAACTTTACAACAAAATTACTATGGAATTTCTTCAATTTCCGTGACAAGATGTACGAGTCATTGAAGCAACCAGTTCGCCTATCTTTGCAAACTTACGGGTCATTCAGAGCTGTTAAGCGATCAATCATACACATAAACTGAAGAGTACGCGATCGACTACGGAATTAGCTACGTTTACGTAACAAAAGTCCTTAGCAGAACAGGTAGGGTACAAACTCACATTTGATGATTGTAAGCGACTGTAGTATACGACTCATTCGTTTAATCCTCTTGTTCATAACAATTTGAAGTTCTAGCATGAAATCCCAAACTATACGCTAATTGAGATTTGGCAAAATTCCAAATTCCTTCTAATTGAGGTTTTTTCTCATGAAGATATTGATTTTTTGAAGACTAATTTCAATGCTTGACTCCCAACTTCAATCAACGATCTGCCCTTCTTCTTCGCAAATCTTTAGCATTATCTGAGCTTTACCAAGAAAAAAAAAACAACAAAAAGTGCATGTAATCGCTGTTATCAGATATCAACACCAATTGTTCATTGATATTTCTCTCATTCAAGCCGCAGATTTACGTTCTATACGATTCAGCCCCACCCGTAACAGCTAGTCCGCTACCTAAACCAGTTACTCATAAAGCGTTGTACTGGAAGGAGAAAAACTTAAGTAAGAACAGAACTAGATATCTTCTTTTGGTAAATGGAAATTATTAATTCATCGAAATTCGAAATGAAGCCCAAAGGCTGCAAATACTTCATTCCTTGCATTCTTTTGATTAATTCATGTGCTAATCAAAGTCGATTTTTGGCTTTAAATCGGTCTTTAAACTTCATTTCAACGCTTATATTTAGAAAAACAGCAGTTTAATGATACTCCTCCTGTGGAATTTCGCACTTCGCTGATTGATTCGAAAAGGCGTGTTTGTGAGAAAATCATCAAGTTGTGATAGTAGGGATAGAAACTTGTTCATACAATTCTCTTCCATTGTCCTTTTTCATATTGCAGATAGTATTAGTCCCTATTTTTATAAAATGCAAAATCATTGCAATAGCTCTGGGTTGCTTCCTCTTCTCAGTTGATTCCTATTCTAAACTAGGTCAAAATGTTGTAGTATTTGGCGTCACACTCTCTTTCTTGCTGCGCATATATCAATGATTTAATTCGCAAAATTATAAATTTAGAATAAATTTATTT